CCCCAAAACCCCAAAACCCCAATGTGCCGATGTCTTTAGCAATTATGAAATTAAGTATAAGTTAATAAACTTTTGTAATATAAAGGAAAAATCAGAAACTCCAAGACTATTCACAAAATTAAACGAAGCCAAGGCCACATTTCCTCCACTCATAGGTCACTTAATCGAATTCCTATACTCTATATCTACCAACTACATAAACTTTATTTTACGGAGTGTGATAATAGAACTTAGATATATCAGGATAAGGCATTGCTAGCTCTTTTCTTAAGTTTACCAAATTAGTCTCGGTATTGTAAACATGACTTTTCACATCTATAATTCCTACAAATAACCCCCCAGTTATCAAAATTTAAGATGAATCCTCCACTCGGCAATGGTTGGTTTCTTGAATTGGTGAAGTATTTCTTATTAGCAATGGAAAGCAAATCAGATTACCTACATTGTTGATGTGGTCTCTATACAAATGAATCTGTGTGAAATAAGGTCTTTCCTCCTTTGGGTTAAAGATTTTATCTTGATGAGTATCGTACATTTCAATGTAATCAGACCTCACACTTACCAATTTTTCATGCTTTCTGCTAACTTTAAAAACAATGTTCCCATAAAACATCTCAGTAGTATATCCGCCAAATACATAAATATACCTATCTTTTAATATGCAAGTAGTAGAATGATACCTGCCTTCCTTAAGGATTGCCGCCATTTCCAACCACTTATTATCTTGTATATCAAAACGTTCCATTGTGTATTATGAATACACAAATTTGTTGTACTAGGTGTTTGATGAATCTCCTCTACCACCAATGACATAGATCTATTTATCGTTTTTAATGGCATGTGCGAAATAGGCTCTTTGATGAATCATTCAAGAGCGCTCTTTAAATACTTTCCTTTCAAGTAGAAACTCATAGTTCTAGTTAGAGTTATTCCCACCCATCAAGTATGCTCTGAATCATCTATTAGTGATAATAGTTTTATATCCTTTAGTAATAAGACTTGGACTTATTCTGATCATGTGATGACACCATGGATCAGAAGCATTATTATGAAAAAACCAGACTTTGGCAAAGAAGAAAGTACCAAGATCATCATCTGATGACTTACTCTCACTCGAGTGCTTCTCTTTCTCTCTATTTCTCATTTGTGATCGAATGTCAGAAAAATCCACAAAAATAAAACTTGGTCTGATTGCAAATGTTGCATTGTGTAAATACCTTGGAATTATGAAATCATAGAATCTTCTAGTAAGTGCCTAAAGCTAGACCTGCTGTTCAAAATTCAAATAGTCAAGCAAGACTTTGAAGCATTGAGAATTAATCAACTACAAAATTGGACTTAAGTTTTTTTGTTACTAGAATGACTATTGCATTAAATTTATTTTGCAAAAATTAATAATTCATTTGGTTTTAATCTTATATTCGTTGATGGGGTTTTGGGGTTTTGGGG